ATTTCCCTAGAAGCACGATTACCTAGTCTCACACGTTTCCATATTAGCGTGCGTTTCCCTAGTAGAGCCGTTTCTCTGGTAGCGTGCGGCCCTACTATTACGTTGCCCTTTTAGCGCATTCCCCTAGTTGCGCAGGTTTCCCTAGGAGTGCGCATTGCCTGTTAGAGCGCTTTTCCGTAGTACCGCGCCTATCCCTAGTACCGTGTTTCCTTACTAGTGCGTTGCCCTAGTAGCACGTTTCCTCACGCGTAGCACCTCGTCACGCATGTTTCAAGGTCTAAAAGCACGTTTCTGTGTGAAAAGCCTCCTTTTCTTACCCTAGGCCCTCAATTTATATTTGATGTCATCCATGTAGGGCACAAACCCCATTTCAAAAAGCACCTTTTTTATGTGTAAATCTTCATTTTTTTAAACTAAGCCCTCATGTATAGGGCTATTTGTCTACTCCAATAAATTTCTGATAATCCTTGTTTTTTTTTACTTTAAGTCCCCATTACTAGGGCCCAAAATCTCATTCTTATAGTCCCAGCCTTCATTTTCAGAGACAATCCCTCATATTTAGGGCACAAACCCCATTTCAATGTCATTTCCCTAGTAGCGCACCTTTGTCTTGTAGCACGTTGCCCTGGTAGCGCATTGCCCTAGCAGCGTGTTCCTCTTCTAGCGCCGTTTCCCTAGTGGTACGTTTCCCTAGTATCACAGTTTCCTCAGTATCACAGTTTCCCTAGAAGCGCGTGTTGCCCCAGTAGTTTGCGGTGCCCTACTAGCGCGCGTTGTGCTAGTAGCGTGCATTTCCCTAGTAGCGAATTTCCATAGGGGCTCACGTTTACCTAGTAACACATTTCGCTAGTAGAGCAGTTGCCCTAGTAGCGCCTTTTCCTTAGTAGCTATTTTCATATTATCGCGTTTCCCTAGTAACGTGCTATTCCCTGGCAGTGCGTTTGCCTTGTAGTGCTTGTATCCCTAGTAGCGCATTCTCTAGTAGTGCAGGTTGCCCTAGTAGCGCTAGTAGCACGTTACTGCAGTAGTGCGATTTTCCCTAGTAGCGCGTTTCCCCCGTAGTGTAGTTTCCATAGTAGCTCTATTTCCCTACTAAAGCGGTTTCCCTTGTAGCGCATTTCCCTAGTAGCGTGTTATCCCCGTAGAGTATTTCCCTAGTAGAGCTGTTTTTCTAGTAATGTGTTTCCATAGTAGCGTGTTTCTGTAGTACCATGCATTTCCCTAATACCACGTTGCCATAGTAGTGTGCGTTGCCGTAGTAACGCACTCTTCCCTAGTAGCGCATTTCCCTAGTAATGTGCGTTTCACTATTAGAGCGTGTTTCCTTAGCAGCGCGAGTTTCCCTACTAGTGCGTATCCCTAGTAGTGCGATTCCCTAGTAGTGCGTGTTCCCCTAGTAGAGCACGTTTCCCTAGTAGTGTTTTTCGCTAGCAGCGCAATTCCCTAGTAGCACCGTTTCCCTATTATCGCCGTTTCCCTTGTAGTGCATTTCCCTAGTAGTGAGCGTCTCCCTCGTAGTGTGTTTCCCCAGTAGAGCCATTTCCCTAGTAACACGTTCCCATAGTAGCGCCATTTCCCTAATAGAGCCGTTTCCATAGTAAGGCGTTTCCCTAGGAGCGTGCATTTCCCTCGAAGCGCATTACCCTGATAGCACCCGTTGCCATCGTAATGCAGTTTCCCTAGTGGAGCATTTCCCTCGTAGTGTGTGTAACCTATTGGCGTAATTCCCTACCATCACGCGTTCCCCTAGTAGCGTGCATTTCCCTAGTAGAGCGTTTCTCCTGTAGCACCGTTCCCTAGTAGCACCCTGTCTCGTAGCATGTTTCCCAAGTAGCGCCATTTGCCTTTTACCGTATTTCCCTAGTAGCGTGCAATTCCCTAGTTGAGCCATTTCCGTAGTACTGCGTTGCCATAGTAGCGAGCATTTCCATACCAGTGCGCTCTTACCTAGTAGCATGTTTCCCGAGTAGCACGCTTTGCCCTATTAGAGCATGCTTCCATATGTCGAGGATGAAAGTATTGACTCAGTAATGATTTAGGAAATAATATAGATTTATTAATAATTAAGAACTATTTGTCAATACAAAATAATTCAGACAGAAATGCTACTTATTCAGGTACTAAAGTGACAAGATTCACTCTAACTTACTTATCGGTACCTTAATTTATACACATACAAACATGCGCATACACAAACCAGACATATACATACAGGAACAAAGGGGTTTGGATTCGGTGAAATGAACACAAAAGGGACAAGCACACAGGAACACGGGTAAGGGTATGTACCCACACACCCCCACCAATAACCAGGTGAAATAGAAGCAACCTCAAAGAAAATTTCCCTCTCAAGTTTAGAGCAAATGCTCCCAATGCCTTGGCATTCCTCATCGGGCAATAATTGAGACTCGAGCGAAGGGACTTCGCACTGGCCTTCCGTCTGGAGCAGACGACACCTTAAGGGTTTTGGTAGCTGAGAGGCGTCCCAGCTCAGGGGAGATGCAGGTCACAGGCCCGCTGCCATCCAGGAGAGCTCAAAGGGCCTCTCTGGTGGTCGCAGATTATAGGGTCCAAGATAACTGACTTTTGTCAAATACTATCTGCTGCCTTTGGGCAGTTGCACAAGAATTTGAATAACATGGAACCCTGTTATTGTTCCGTCTGATCCCATCCCAGGCACAGGGGTGTCAGGCCATCAGGAGATGACGGGCCAGTATCACCTTTTCCAAGCAATTGGGAGGGGCAGGAGCCAGGCTCCTCAAGGTTATTAGTCCTTATCTCCACAGATTGGTGTATGGCCTGGGGGAATGTGGATGGAAACACACCTGGCACCAAGGAGCCCAACAAGGAGGGCAGGGAGGGGTAAGAATTGCACCACCGCAACGTGCTACGACAGAAATGCACACTCCTAGGAAAACGTCCTACTAAGGAAACACGCTACAAGGGAAACGTACTACGAGGGAAACGGTTTTAATAGGGAAACGCGTGCTACTAGGGAAACCCACTATGTAGGAAACTCACTGGTAGGGAAATGCGTTAAAAGGGAAAGAGCGTTACTAGGGAAACGGAGCTACTGGGGAAACGCTCTACTAGGGAATCACACTACTAAGGAAACGGTGGTACTAGGAAAACGCTCTACTAGGGAAAATCGCTACTGGGAAAATGCACTATACTTAGGCAACGGTTCTAATAGGGAAGCACGCTACTAGGGATACGTGCTAGTTGTGAAACGCGTGCTGCTACGGAAACGTGCTCTAATTGGGCAAGGCGTTCTACTAGGGAAACACACAAAGAGGGCAACACACTACAAGACAAAGGTGCACTAATAGGTAAACAACTTTGAAATGGGGTTTGTGTCCTCAATATGAGGGATTAGAATTTTCACACAAAAGTATGCTTTTTGACCTTGAAATGGGTTTTGTGCTCTAAATGTGAGGACGTCTTGGACATAAAATATAAGTTTCCCTAGTAGAGAGTATCCCTAGGAGCACAGGGTCCTAGTACCGCGCATTTCCCTGGCAACGTGCGGTTCCCAGGTAGTGCGTTTCCTTAGTATTGCGCATTGCCCTCGTAGCTCCTTGCTGTAGGAGAGCGTACTCTAAGTCCCCACTCTTACAGTCCAAAATCTCATTTATAGACTCCAAGCATTCATTTTTTACAGACAATCCCTCACATTTAGGGCACAAAATCCCTCACAGTTAGGGCACAAAACCCATTTCAAGTCCGTTTCCTTAGTAGTGCGTGTTGCTCTAGTAGTGTCTGGCCCTAGTAGCATGTTGACATAGTAGTGCAGATTGCCCTAGTAGCGTGTTGTC